AGCTGAGCGGAACCGGCGGCGCGGCCCTGGGGGCCGCAGGAGCCGGCGCCGGCATGCGCACACCTCACCCGGAGACGCCCGACAGCGTCTCCGTTGATATAGGGGGGCGGGGCATAGGGCACAGGGAGATTGGGGGCGGGCGGAGGACGGAGGAGACTGAATAAAAGGGGGAAGCAGAGAGGGCCGGGGAGGAGAGCACGCCAAGACGGCAAGGAACAGAGAGACGTCGCTCAGAGGCAGAGAGAGAGAGAGAACCTGGGAAAAGGGGGCATAGTCTCGGCGTGCAGGCAGAGGGGCACTTTGGGGTGCTTCTAACCCCGCCCCCTGCCAATCTGAGGCCACCTCTCCCCCGCTTTCTGCCGACGCTGTTCCTCCCAACCGGCCCCCAACCCCTTCGGGACGTGGGACTGACGCTATCCCACGACGGCCACAGGGGGCGCCATCCCGAAGACCAAGGGGGAACCTGACAAGGTGGTGGAGAATGCGGGCACGCCAGACCCGCTAGGTAGGCCAACCCCATGCCTACCCACCCCACAGGGGTGGCTACCGCCAAAGGAGCGTCAGGGCCTGGCTCAGCGGACCGGAGAACCCCCATCTTCTTCCTCCGAAGACTCTGACGACTCCGCTTCCAGCCAAGACTCCGTCAAGGCACGCCCTGGTGTCGCCCCTGCGTCTACGCCCGCCATGGACTTTGCTCAATTCGGCCAATGGCTGGCCGAGCACCAAGCGCAGCTGTTGAGGGACCTGGCCCAACAACAACAGACAGCACAGGCGTCCCTGGTCCGGGAGTTGCATCAGGCGGTGACGGCCCGCCAGGTCCCCGGAGGTGGTGGCGGCGGGCCCGTCGTGGCAGGACGCGGACCATGGCCGGCCCTGACGAAGCTAGGACCGGACGACGAGATAGAGGCGTACCTCGAGGCCTTCGAACGGTTAGCAGAAGCAGCTCAGTGGCCAAAGGAGCAAAGGAGCCTATACGTTGGGGCCCTACCTGACGGGGGAAGCCCAAGCAGCAGTGAAGGCTTTGGAACGGACCGAGGCAGCAGACTACTCCAAGGTGAAGGCCGCGATCCTGGACAGGCTGGAGGTCACGCCCGAAACATATAGGCAGCGGTTTCGGTCCTACCAGTTGCCCATTCCAGCACGACCCCGCGCTGTCATCGCCGCCCTCAAGGATGCCGCAACCCACTGGCTCACACCTACTACCGACGACGGGAAGAGGGTCGTGGAGTTGATAGTCATTGAGCAGCTGTTACAGATATTGCCCGCCAGGGCCCGACATTGGCTCACCTGTTGGAAGCCAATAAAACTGATCGAGGCCCAGGAACTTTGGGAGAATTTCCAAGCGGCCGAAGGCCGCGATGGAGGCCCTCGGAGGGAGCCACCCAAAGTCGGGCGTAATCCCCCAACAGGTGGTAAGAGTGGTGGAACCCCGGGGCCTCGGGCCAGAGACGATGGAGGACGCCCGGGGAGGGCTCAGCCGGGAGTGGCACGTGGCACACCCAGCCCTAGCAGCACGCCAGTATATGGGGTGATCCCTCCAACAGGACGAGGTAACGTCGCCCGGACAGAGGGACCTCAACCTCTCGGAGGGGGAGGCCGGGCAAACAGTGGCCCTGGACCCTGCTTTACCTGTGGCCAGTGGGGGCATCTGAAGCGCGATTGCCCACTCATGGAGTGTGACCTGGGGCACGAGACCACCATGCAGACCGCCACAGTGGGCCGCCGCCCTCCTGCTTGGGTACTGCCCGTGCGGCTGGGGTGGCAGGAGGTCAAAGCCCTAGTGGACAGTGGGAGCTCCCTGTCCCTGGTACGGTCGCACCTCCTCCCCCCGGACCTGCCCGTGGTCCGTACGGCAACCGTAGTATGCTTCCACGGCCACGAGGAACGTTGCCCGGTTGTGATGGCACGGCTGTCTTACCTCGGACGTCACTGGGAAGTCCCCCTAGCCCGTGTCAGGAGGTTGCCATTCCCCGTGTTACTGGGCAGAGATGCCCCCTGGTTCGTAGAAGCACTAGCAGCCGCCAGGCCCCCGGAGGAGGAGGAAGGGGAAGAGCAGGCCAGAGAAGAAGAATTAGCAGCCCCAGCGGAGGAACCAAGACCCAATGGGCAGTCCGACCTTGACCTAGAAGACACCTGCCATGATTGGGCCAGCGACCCCGACTTCGGCCGCGACCAGGAACAGGACGAAGCTCTGGAAGGACGGCGGTAAGGAATGGCATGGTGATTGAGCCCCGCCTGAGCCAGAGGCTACCCCACATCCTCCAGGAGGATGACCACTGGTTCCGGGAGTTAAAGGGGAGGGTGGGTAACTACCGACAGCTGTTGGTCCCCCACGCCCACATACCCACCGTCTTACGCGCGGCCCACGACCACCCCTGGGCTGGGCACCAGGGGGTAAAGAACACCATGGCCCGGGTGCTCGCCCACTTCTTCTGGCCCGCCGTGGCCCGTGACGTCAAAGCATACTGCCGCTCGTGCGACGTGTGCCAGCGAACGTCCAACCGTCCTGAACCCAGGGCCCCCCTGTCCCCGTTACCAATAATTGGGGTCCCATTCGAGAGGGTGGCGATGGATTTCGTGGGACCACTGCCCCGAACCCCCAGGGGAGCCCGATACTTATTGGTCATCATGGACTACGCCACCCGGTTCCCGGAGGCCGTCCCC